ACCGCAGAACTGGCTGGACTTCGTCGGCGCGTCGACGCTCGACCGTCTGCTCAGGCAAGCGTTGCACTACAACTACGCGCGGGCCGTGTCGCTGCTCCTCGCCGCGGGCGCGGCGCACGCCTTCGTCGTGGGCTATCCGCCGCGCCTGCGCCACGCGCTCACGTACTGCCGGCGCGCGGACATCGCCGAGATGCTCCTCGACGCGGGCGCGGACATCGAGCTCCGGGACGGCGGCTACACCCCTCTGGAGGTCTGCCTCTTCCTCGACAGACCGGCCATTGCGCGCGTGCTCCTGAGCCGCGGCGCGGACGTCGACGCCGTCGACCTCGCGCGGCCGCGGTCGATGCCAATGCGGTGCTACCGGCTGCTCCGCGCCATGCGCGCGGCCGGCAGCTGGCGGGCGTACGTCGACCTGCCCCGCCAGGAGCTCCTCGGCTTCCGCCGGCGCCTCCTGGCCTTCCGCCGCCTCCTGTTCCGCCGCGCGTTCCCGCCGACCCCCTCCCTGCACGAGCGCCTCTTCTTCGAGGTGCCCGAGGATGTCTTCCGCCACGTCTTCACCTTCTGGCGCGGCCCCCGCGACCTCCGCTAGGGGGGCGACTCGTAAAGCTCCGCACCGCGTTCTGCCGCTCCGCGAGGAGCGCGCCGACGCCCGCGCAACGAAAGGGACGCGTGGCCCACGTGGACGGGGCGTACGTCCTGGCGTGCGCGTCGCGAGAATACAGATCTACACCGCCCCTCGCCGCGCCGAGGCGCGAAACGGTCCGCCGCGTCGCCGTTACGACGTCGTTCCGGGAAAAAGCGTATTTTCCCCACGATCCTCTCCGTAGGGGCTCTCTGGCGAGCCCGGTGTCGCGGCGCGAGAGGCCGTAGATTCGAACCAGCGATGTGGGACACAAATCGAGCGGAGCGCATCGTATGGCTGTCTCGCGACCTTCGGACAAAAGCTACGCCCTCCGGCCAGAAGATCTGGCCTGGCGCCTGCGGCGCAAAACCGCCGCGAAGCGGCGGCTCACGGCGCCGCAGGCCGATGGACTACAGGGTCGCCCGGCCTCGGCGGCTCGCCGCGCCCCGAGCGCGCCGCGCCCGCGCCCGCGCGCCGGCTCCTCGGCCCCCCGGCAGGGGCCGGGGAGGGGGTCCGGGGGAGGGG